ATTCCTACATTCTCACGTTATAAAGCACTTTATTTTTTCGTGATCTACCAGCGGTGCCAGGATCCAGAACATATTGCGTCATGAGGGAGAATAATATATGAACAATACATTTTTGTGACATGTAGACCCATGGCTGTGTAAAGATGCGACAAAGCAATAGCCGTGACTAGGAAACAGTTCTGTGGATACGTTGCTTTCCCGGCTAAAGAGAGAACACGCAATAATTCAAGATACTTTTTATATGCGGTCCGTGCAACGGTTATAAAAGGGCCAGAAGTCTTAAACTTGGCTGCTGTTAAGTTAAAGTTAAAGTGACTAAGTTGTTGTAGCATAAGATACATAATATTGGCATCATGTACTTTGCAAAGCCTGTGCTGAAAGAACTTGGAAGAATTTTCAGTAACTTGCTTTAAGTGCGATACGTACACTTGACGAAAGTCCAATTATAATCACAAGAGAAAAACCCATCTTCTCCTCAGAAAAGACATTACATAAGGACTATGACTGCAAGGGTTCAGTTGAAAAATAAAATTACTGGTCGTGAGTCTCAAGGGGTTTCGCCAAGAACAACTGACTGCATTGAGAGCAGAACTTGTGAGAAGTGAGAAGCTGGTAGCTGAGACCTGGTAGAGTTCGGGAACCCAGAGGAAGGGGAACGTCATTCATTGGAAGCCGCTACCAAGCAACGGCTAGTAAAGATTGAGAAGACGTTACAGGTGCTGGAGTTACAGTGATATTTGGAGTGCGTAACTCAGTAAAACTGTCTTAGTTATTTGTAGTTACGTTCTGTAAGTGTCCAGTAAATCCAGTTAAAATCCAAACCCCGTCTGTACTCACAGTCACGTGTTGTTATAAAAGGACGCGGAAAGAAGCGGCGGTGTGTTAACAGAGATACATTCCCAACATTTGCTCGTGTTCTGCCCGAGATTCGAAACGAGAACCCTCCGATTGTTGATATCTGGAACGTTACTCTTATGCCAACCGGCTGAGGGTGTAACATGCCCTCATGTCTTGAGACTTTTAGCTCTATTTGCGGATTCATCAGTGTTTCTCCGGGCAGAACGTTCCATCGGACAAAAGAAAGAGTTTGTGGAAGCGAATTCTATAGAATATTTCGATTGGAAGCTTACAGATTCCTTACAAGCTGAGTGAAGGATCAATGGAACAATATTTATACGCGGTCAGATACTATCAGATGCATTAGCCGCAACAAAGGCGTACCTAAGTGCCCATCTAATGGACTCGTCATCAGGTGTCAGTGTTACCAACCTCATGGCCGATCAGGTGTTTTCTAGTCCAATTAAGATGCCTCCTCTGCTTAAACAGTCCGACATCTACTGTGTTTGTCAACATGTGGTCCGCAGCATTTTAAATTTTCCTTATTTTAAAAGAAATGAGAGTAGATTTACTTGAGTACAGTGTTGTCTGTGTGTGTCTGTGTGTCCCTCCACTATTATTTTTTAATGCCTCAACAAATCTTTACAAAACTTGGCACCTGAATCCAACTCAACAGCGTACTTCATAAATCTCTCACATCAACGACTAGGTAAAAATGTTTTCTATTCTGTTCGTATCGTACAAAGGAATATTGTCGTGAAGATGGAGGTGACATACGGGTATAACTCAGAAATATCGGCAAGCTTCTACAAGACTGCACAGAGTCACATGCCAGAATGTATTAGTATTCACATTCACCGCTGTTAGAACCTCGAATTTTGTGTTCTTGTTTGTGATTTATTTAAACGTACAGGCAGTAACGTACATTACACAGCATCGAATCGTTCATTCACTAATGAACAATGAATTGGAAGGGATACGGGGAGAAGCAGCCATAACCCATCCCAAGGACATACCTCACAAGTCCCTAGGAGAAACTTAGGAAAAATCACGAAAATTCTGGGTCAGGATTATGGGTGTCTTGACAGAGATTTGAACCGCGTAGTTCCATGACAGAAATCTGAATCATTATCGACTAAGCCGTTTTAGACGGTCTATATTAGAAAAAAGTAAAAGTAAAGCTGTCCCTGTAACAGACCGTGTAGGCCCATAGGGTTGTGAGACGTCGAGGCTCCCACATTTTTTAGAAATCCGCTCACAGATGGCGGTGAGGCTGTCAGCCTTATGCGCCGGCCGCCCTTTACTTCCAGGAAGATTCCTGGTACTCATTTCTGTTAGAGGCTGAGTCGACCCCAGGGCCATAGCGCGTGTGGAAGCATTAGATAAATTGAAAAATGCAGTGACTCCATCGGGAATGGAACCCACGATCTTCCGGCTTGTAGCACAGTGCCAGAGACAACTACGCCAGTACATTATGAAGGAGCATGAATGATCCATGAGATAGACGTACAAACTTTTAAGGGAAACCCTGAGAGAAGGAGACTAGTAGAAAGATCTAGTGGTAGATGCGAGGATGATATTAAAATGGATCTTAAGGAAATAGGATGTGAGGATGTGGACTGGATTCATCTGGCTCAGGATAGGGAGATGTAGCGGGTTCATGTGACACGGTTACGAACCTTTGACATTCATAAAATGCTGGGAATATCTTCCGTCGTTGAGCCACTACTAGCTTCTCAAGAATGATTCAGCTGCATGGAAATTGATGGTTAGTTTATGCTAGTTGCATATTAGGTTGTCATTATTAATAATGTAGACAAAACAGGGACGGTATGTAAGTATGCAATAAAATAAACAGTACGAAGGCGGTTGGGGTGTGACGGGCCGAAACCTGACGGCGGCGGTCTTTGTGAGGCAACAGAAGGCTCAGGAATGCGACATTGTTGACAGGTGCTCTGTGAGAACAGGATGGGAATCAATTAGTGTAATCACGCGAACCGTTGAGCTGTCCGGCTTGGACACAAACACATATCTGTGTTCCGTGCTTCCTGCTCTGTCCGTACACATTCAGTTTCTGAGCGGCCAGCCGGGTCCTCTCTTCGAGGCATATCATGTTCTTCTTAGTCCACGCTCCTCATTTAAAAAAAAAGTTTATTAAGCCTATTATTTTTATTATTTTTATTGCTAGTGGGGTGGGACTAAGTCCCTTGTACTGCGGCCACTTCTGGCCTACTGTACCAGCCCCAGATGATATGTGAGGGTGATTGTGGAGCAATTGGTGGAATGAAGATTGGCAGGGGAAACCGAAGTACTCGGAGAAAACCTGCCCAAGCGTTACTTTGTCCACCACAAATCCCACTTGACCAGACCCGGGCCGCCGCGGTGGGAAGCCAGCGACTAACCACTTGAGCTATGGCGCGGCCTTTATGAAGCCTAAGTGCTCTCTCTCTCTCTCTCTCCCTGTCTGTCTATCTCATTTCTTGCTTCCTATGAGGTCCGTGTCGTATCAAGGAAAGCAGATGATTAGTTCTTCCCAGAACTTCTTGTTCTATACGTGACACAAACTGTCGGTAACCAGTGTGTTAGTAATCTTGATATAAAATGCAGTTGTATGACGTTAAATGAAAGACACGCGGTAGCGCAGTTGGTTGAGGCACTATGCTGCAAGCCGGAAGGTCGCATGATCGAATCCCGATGAGGTGGATTTTTTCAATTGACCTAATCCTTCCAGCCGCACTATGGCCTTGGAGTCGACTGAGCCTCTAACAGAAATCAGCACCAGGAATCTTCCTGTGGGGTAAAGGGCGTCCGGCGCGTAAGGCTGACAACCTCACTGCCATCTATGAGCCGATTGTCTAGAAAATGTTGGAGCCTCGGCGTCTCACAACCCTGCGGGCCTTCACTGCCTGTTACAGGGATAGCTTTACCTTTTATGCAGTTCCATATTAATTCAGAAAATCAAAACGCGGCGACGCCTGTTTAAAGCCACTACTTCTAACCATCCTAACATGTTGAGGGCCGTGCCATAGTTCAAGCGGTTAGTAGCTGTCTTCCCACCGTGGCTGTCCGGGTTTGATCCCTGGTCAGGTCATGTGAGACTCGTGGTGGAGGAAGTGGCATTGCGGCAGGTTTCCTCCGAGTAGTTTCCCCTACCACTTCTCATTGCACCGATTGCTCTACACTCATCGTCTAACATCCGGGGCTGGTACAAGACGCCGGCTAGTGGCCGACGTGGCAAGTGGACTCAGTCTCACCCCACCCCAGAAAGATTTCTCTTTCACACTGCCCTTCTTAAGAGGACGCGAAGGCGAAGCCTGGGAACCTACTCCCCCCCCCCCCGCAACAAAAGGAATATTCAACTTCTCCCATGAATTTCGCGTTTCGCCTACGTTTCCACCATACTTCCATATCCGTTCCTCTCGCCTGTTTCATTTGAAGACGCTGTCAGTAACGACAAGCGTCTAGTGATCTACTCATGCTGAATCATTAACTGCGAAAAATACGAATGGAAGTCGCCATGCCTTAGAGAATATTTCTTTTATGTTTACTTGTACTACTGGTTTATTATGACCGCCTCTGTGGTATAGTGGTCAGAGTTCCTGGCTACAGATCCAGAGGTCCCGGGTTCGATTCCAGGTGATACCAGATTTTCTGAGAAGTAGTGGGTCTTGAACGGGATCCACTCAGCCTAGTGAGGATAATAGAGGAGCTATTTCAAGGAAATAGCGGCTCCGGTCCAGAAAACCAAGATTAATAGCCGTGGGGATTCGTTGCGCTGACCACGCCACACCCTCTATCCGCTAAAGTTGTGCACTAACTTCGCCAACAGGCGGCGGTCGCTCGATCGGTACAGTTCGCTTGCGGACTACAGGCCACGGTTTTTTTTATTGGTTTATTAAATTCCTTTTTGTTTTCGGTCTGTGCCTCCAGTACTGAAGAACCTGAAGAAAGCGTTCAGTCAGGATAACGAGCCAATATTTCCTGCGGACACGCACACAGGAGGAAGACCTGGTGCTCGTGCGTCAGGTTCAGCGATAAATTCGCTACAAGGAAATCCCGGCCAGAAAAAACAAAGCAGAAGACGAGGAAAAAGAAGAAGGTTAATGATTGCAACTATCAACTTCAATGCCGCGTTGCAGTGAGTCATGGAACTTGTGCGCGGTGTCCGTTATCACGGCTTCCTATAAGAGGTGTGAGTGGGTACGAGGTTAGGCCAGACAGCCAAGCAGCGACGCCTGGTAAGTACTCAAACCGGCCGAAACGGACTCAACATTCCACGTACCAGAGACTCAACTTCTCTGCACAACGCAACTTACGGGTTATGTCTGTTTCAGCAACTTTATCAGTGTAGAGTTTGAGGTTTTCACACCGGTGGTTATGAAGAATTCAATCCTCTTGGATACAACGACATGTAGATCGTTGAAACCCGGTCACAGTGGCCGTGCGGTCTAAGGCATGAACTGTCTTCGCTTGCTCGAACCTACAAATCGTTGGTTCGAACCCCACTCAAGGCATGCATGTCTGTGTTTGTGTTGTCCTGTGTGTAGGTACCGACCTTGCGACGGGCTGATAACTCGTCCAAGGAGTCCTACCGACTGTATTAAATTATTAAATGTGAAAATGAAATGAAGCGTTTCACGTAGGCTCTATGCTCCAAGAGGGAGCAACTGGACTAAAAATAGACCTATCTATCTATCTATCTATCTATCTATCTATCTATCTATCTATCTATTCTGACTATAGCCCTTTGTTGGACCTTGGCCGTTTTTTCAGTTCTTGATCTTATACTTAGTCGGTATGACACTTTGGATGGGGGATCAGCCCGCCGCAAGGTCGCTACTTACACACAGAATAACCACATACAGACATCCTTGCCTCCGGTGGGATTCGAACCCACGATCCCAGCGTTCGAGCGAGCTGAGACAGTTCGTGCCTTAGACCGCGGGGCCACCGTGATCGGTATCTAATGTACCCTATTTCAGTCAGTTTAAATGACGTATATACCCGTTTGTGGCATGTACTGTCTTCGCTCGCTTGGAAATCGGGATCGTGGGTTCGAATCCCACTCAGGGCATGGATGTTTAGTTTGTGTGTGTGAGTTTTTCTATGTTTGTGTACAGGTAGAGGCCTTGTGACGAGCTGATCACCCGCCCAAGGAGTCCTACCGAATGTGTAAGATCTAGAAAAACCGAAGTGAACGGAGAAGTTCATGGAGGTAGGCCTAGGCCCACTGGGGCTGTAGTGCCAAGGAAAAAAATATATACCCGTCTGTAGCAAGGAAAGAGTTAATGTATATTAAGTCTAGTGACTTTTTTTTTGGTTTGAAACTGAGATTGACAGACTTGCCCCGCCCTACCCTGTGTTTTTTTTTCAAAGGTTCAATGTCCAAATTTGTTAGACCATTTCTCAAGGTTTGTATCAAACAAAAGCATTTGTTGTGTCTGTACTAGAAAGAAGAGGACACACGTGACACAAAGAAGATGAAGGTGTTTCTACTGTTGGCATCCCTGGTTGTGGGACTCAGGGCTCAGTCTTGTAGTTACAGCAGTGTGTGCTCCGACCACACCATGTGCAAGTACCAGGTGAGAGCCTTGCCTCCATTTCTTGTCGCACTTTCTCTGCTATCACCGAGTATGCTCGTAGTTGAGACGAGGCACGAGAATGGTCGAGTCCATTGAGACAGGGATTGTAGCGTGGGTATGTGTTGTAACAATACGTGACCCTCCTTCCCTCACATAAGCCAGTGCAACCACTTCCCCGCTACATTTGCATACATCTCACGAGCAACACAAAGGCCAAGCATTCGGTCAGGCATAGGACAGTTCAAGTGGCTGGGCTGCCGTGGCAGCGAATACTACTAGAAACAGGGCCATGTATATATAATCTTAATTCATAATCGTAAATTTAACCTACTTTCCTCATTTTCATAAAAATTAAGTAGGCTTATGCGATCTCAATGCTGTCTGTATGCCTGTGTATCACCACCTATTAACTTTCGAATGCCTGAAACAATCTCTATTAAATTTGTTACGTATATCGTGGTACCTGAGCCCATATCAAAGGCATACTCCAGAAATTCCACCACTTAATCTTTGTGTCTGTATATGTATCGCCCTAACGTTGCTAGGTAACCGTTCGGTAAAAATTTTACCGCGACAAGGAATATACACGCAGTAATAGAGGAATTGATGGAAAGTAGACAATTAGTTCTTCCCACAACTTCTTGTATACTTTAATACCCGTAGAACTTGCAGTATTTTTTTTTATTGCTAGTGGGGTGGGACTAAGTCCCTTGTACTGCGGCCACTTCTGGCCTATTGTACCAGCCCTAGATGATAGGTGAGGGTGATTGTGGAGCAATTGGTGGAATGAAGATTGGCAGGGGAAACCGAAGTATTCGGAAAAAACCTGCCCCAGCGCCACTTTGTCCACCACAAATCCCACTTGACCAGACCAGGGATCGAATCCGGGCCGCCGCGGTGGGAAGCCAGCGACTAACCGCTTGAGCAATGGCGAGGCCCTAAAAAAAGAACTTACAGTAAATATGGTAGATGTTAAGTCCTAAAATATTTAACACAAGAAGTGCATGAAATCAGGGAATAAAGACCTGTAATCCAGATTTCATTTCCGTATGCAGGGCTACGGTTCGAAATGTGGTCAGCCTATACACTCTGGAGTAACAAGTAACAGTGACAAGCAGAAAATTGTCGATGCGCACAACAATCTGCGCAGGAAAGTGGCCAAGGGACAGGAAACTCAAGGAAAACCGGGCCCGCAACCTTCTGCAGCCAACATGAAGAAGATTGTGAGTATATATAGATATAGTATCCGGGATAGCTCAGTCGGTACGACTGGCTGCGGGCTGGATGACCGTGGGGTTGGAGTTCGACTCCTGGTAAAGTCAAGAATTTTCTCTTCTCCATGACGTTCAGACCAGTTCTGGAGCACCAGCCTCATTTCCAACGGGTACCGGGGGGGGGGTCCTTCCCCGGAGGCCGGGGCGTGAAGCTGAGTTACTGAAGGTTCCGTAAAACACATAAACACACACACACGCCTACTTACGTCACACTGTTACAAATGTTCCATTGTACAATAACAAGGAAAACCATAAGAAAAAAAGTATGTTTGCTACAAACATGACCTTGTCCTGTCAGTGGAGTTTGTGTGTCGATATAAACAAAGGGATCGCGAAACGAAACAATGGCGGAATGCGCCCAAGCAAGCGCGCGCACACACACGCGCGCCTGCGCAAACATACTGAAACAGAAATTTCCTCTCTCGTCATACAGTCAGATAAACAGCAAAGTCGCTTTAGTGACTGAGTCAAGGTCAATGGTCTTATGTAGAGTTGACGTTAAATGTAGGAACCGGGATAGCTCAGTCGGTGTAGCGACGGTTTACGGGTTGTTCGGCCCGGGTTCGATTCCCGGCAGTGCAAGATTCTTCTCCTCTCCACAGCATCCAGACCGTCTCTGGGGCCCTCCTTGCCTCACATCCAATGGACACCAGGGGCGATTTCTCCGGGTATAAACTGACCTGTAATTATTGACGAGGTCAAGAAAACGAGGATCTATATATCCATTCCCCCATACCCCATAGCGCAGTGCTTAATTAGTTAAGTACAGGGACAGCTTGCGGCGACAAGCAGTGAAGCTGATTATTATGTTATCACTGCCCCCCCCGCCAATGTATATAACATGACAGGAGCAACACTTTAAAATCACGATTTTATTTAATATAATGTAGCATTCACGGCAAAGGTCGACACTGCAATACCGACTGAAGCAGAGGTATTGACAGTCAATGCTGTCATCTTGTGACTGTATTCTTAACTACTTCCAATGACCTATGAATAACATACACATAATCACAAACCGTGTCCTGCTACATTTACATTCTGTGCGCGTTATCTGAACTATTCTTACGTCCGAAGAATAGCTTGCGAGGGCATGACGTCGTATAGTCGGGTAGAAAAGTAATATCTCCGGGGAACATGCCTCTGTTTTCAGAGTAGGGGAAGGCAGTAGGATCCTCCGAAGATCTTATAATGTTTTGGCACAATACATACGACATGCAAATCCGAGAAAATAGCACTTTATGGTCTCCGCCATAAGGACCTCAAATTTCATATCCTTTCTTCTATTCACAGTCATGGGACAACGAACTGGCAACAGTGGCCCAGCGGTGGGCAGATCAATGCAGCTTCGGACACGATGCCTGCAGGAATGTTGGTATGTAATTTAACGACAACATATCACCTGCATACTGTCGAAGTACAAATATCTAAATTACTGCTTGTAGTCACAAACCCGCAACAATCTCCGAATAATTGTTGGCCGTAACAGAAGACTTAGCTCGACTCAGTTTTCAAGTGGTGGTCAAGCTTACGACCGTTCAAATGACTAAGGTGCCGTTGTAGCATAAGATACGTAAGATATGCATTATCTGTTCTGCAAAGCCTGTAATGACAGAGGACTTGTATATAGTGCAAACGAATAATTTTCAATAACACGCTTTATGTGCGATACGTACACTTGACGAGCGACAAAACCATATTCTCGTGAGAGAGAGAGGATGTTACGTAAGTACTATTATTACAGGGGCTTAGTTACAAAAAAAAAATTCTGGTCGTGAGTCTCAAGGGAGTTGGTGCTAATGCGAACTGATTGGTGGTAAACAGCCAGTTGTAAAGTAACTTTTAATTTGGGTCTTCAGAGAGTTATAGGATGTGTTCTGGTAGATGAGCACAAACGTTACAATGGAATATATTGTTTCCATCTTCAGAGAGTACAATTCTCCGAGACGGTGGTTCCGGTCTACAAGAAAATCCAGAACATACGAACAACGGAAACCGTTAGCGATGGTGATAATTGTATTCAGGTGGCAGAAATTTTGATTTGGGGTTGCCAAATTTAGGCCTACAAATTGTAATCTTTGATCAATATTTTCATTTTACAGGGAGGTTCTATGTAGGCCAAAACGTGTACCAATCGTCAACAAAGGGTTCTAGTCCAAACGGGCAACAGGACTGGCAGTCTGCTGTACAGGCCTGGTATAACGAGGTGAAGGACTTCAGCAAAAACAGTGTCAGTCCCTTCAAGTGAGTACCTTCGCAGAACGGGTTGGTGGTGTGCCGAAGGGCGAGAAACGCATTTATAAAGGGCAACAGTAGGGACATATACCATCTGCACTTTTCCCTCAAGCACATATATTTTGGAAGTGCTGCATAACGAGGAGATTCATAACTTTCACTCTTCTCCAAATAAGGAAATTCAAGTCATAGATGAGCTTGACAGGGAATGTAGCATGCATGGGGAGAAGATAAATGTATAGAGGTTTTCGGTGCGAAAGCCAAAAGGACAAAGACATCTAGAAAGACATAGACGTAAGTAGGAGATAATATCGTCACGTGTAGTACGAGTGTACGTGACTATAGACGGGGTTTTGATTGGGGAATAGATTTATTGGACATTTAAACACAAAACTCATAACTACAAGTAAATATAACGATATCATTAATCCACACACTTTACAGTTCAGTAGGGGACACGGTAAGCCTTCTCACTTTGCCATCGCTAGTCGTTTTCTGGTAATGGATAATAGAAGTTTTCAGCCATCTGTGTTCATTTCGTTACTGTTCGGCGAATATCCCGCAGCTGAACTGCACTTCTGACTCTGTCCCTTGCTTATAACATCTCAGCACGGACCGTGCAGAAACACCTCGTTTCCACTGTTATAGTTCATTTATTAAGAATATGCTACCTAGCAATGGGCACGGGCTTATCAAGCCGTTGACCAGAAACAGGTCTGGCATATCCGCGTATCTCGCGGTCATTGCATAGCAACGGCTCTACACGCCACAATATTAAATGGATCTTAGAAAAAATGGGATTGTATGCGTTTGACACATCTGGCTCAGGATAGGGACCAGTGAAGGGCTCTTGTGAACACTAATAAAATTACATGTTCCATACAATTTCGGGAAAGAAATTGGTGTTCGGGAAGTGCTCGGTTCAATATTTCTCAGTCACTCTAGGCAATGTCGAGATAACATCTGAATGGAGCCGTGTGACTGCCTTTTCTTCCAAATCCTTTCCACACCCTCTGTGATCTAGAGGTCCCGGGTTCGACTCCCGTCGCTACCAGATCTTCTGAGAAGTAGTGTGTCTGGAACGGGGTCGACTCAGCCTCGTGAGGATAACTGAAGAGCTACTTGAACGGAAAAGTAGCGGTTCCGGTCTCGAAATCCGAAATTAACGGCCGTGGGGATCCGTTGCGCCGACCACGCGAGACCCTCTATCCTCAAAAGTTGGCACTAACTTCGCCGACAAGCGGCGGTCGCTGGGTCGGTATAGTTCTCTTGGGGAGTACAGGTCACGGGGTTATTCCAATCATGCAATCATTCGACGCCATATTGTTACAGCACCTTTGAATAAGCAGCAGACACGCGTACAAGGCCCTCGTTAGTCACTGGGGTTTCTGTTATCAGGTACAGCTCAGGCGCGGGCCACTACAGCCAGGTGGTGTGGGCCACTTCAGACAAAATCGGCTGTGGATTCACGGCCTACGCGGGTTCCGACGGCTGGTACAACAAGATGTACGTGTGTAACTACGGCCCGGGTGGGAACGTCATAGGGGGCTCCAGCAGCATGTACACCATTGGGGGCGCCTGTTCCAAATGCTCTGGCAACTGTGACAACGGCCTTTGTGTGTGATTCAGGGGATATCTTGAAGGGGCGAGGGAGGTTGGGGGTGTAGACTCTTTGCCTACAAATTTATGTTTAAGATTTCCATCTTCTTGGATATAATGTTGTTTAGTACGCTGATAGTCAATCGACGTTTCGGACGAACATTTCGCCTCTATTTTTAAGGTCGAAGCAGGCTTTGCTTGCCACCTGACTTCACTCTGGTTACTTGATTTTCGGCCATGATGATGGAAACATATTCATCCGAAACGTTCCGTTGACTTACAACGGACTACACGACCATATATCCCAGAAGATGAAACTCTTCATGTGTTTAATTAAATTCACTTTCTCTGATCATCCTAAAATATTCATACTGTAAGATTGTTTTTAAAATAAACTTTTTATTATTAGTATTCATATCTTAACTAAAGAAGTGGCCGCGTGTAGATCTACTGTCAGCCGATGTTTCGGAGGAACGTCAATTCACACAAGATCTACACGGTGCCAGATCCCAGAACACGCCATTCTTCATAGTCACTGTCGTGAAAACCTCAAATCCTAAATATCTTACATATTTCCTTATTTCTTTATATTTTTTATTTACTTAAAAATTTGGTTTTGAGGGAGAGATTCCTGGGTTGACCCCTCCCCATTCCGACGCTTATGATGTTGAATGAAATAAAGAGTCCTCTCGAGTTGTATACTGTTTTGGTTTAATTCCTAACACCACGTTACAGCGGGCACATACTGCCCAAAATAGTGCCCTCAATAAGTCAATATCCTTTCCAATTCGTCATCTTCTTCTCTTCCTTTCGTATCAGCACCCCCCTCCCAAATCCTGTCTATTTTCCCATCAGAATTAATCTGGAATTATGGATCTTAGAGACACTTGATAGTCCTCCTTGTACGGGGGATCAGCTCTGACACAAGGCCACTACCTACACACAGGACAACAGGAACACAGAATAAACGCGGACAGACATTGAAACCTCGAGTGAGTTTCAAACCCGCGATCCAAATATTTGAGCGGGCTAAGACTTTTATAACTTAAACTGAGCGCCTACCGCGGTTGATTTTTCCAATTCTTCCCTCATTAATCATCCAACCATTGAAGAAAGCAGTTTTCTGGGATTTGGCACCGTGTATATGTGGTGTTAACCGACGTTTCGGAGGAGACCGTGAGAACCGGTAAAAGCAGACAGTCTGCTTTTACCGGTTCTCACGGTCTCTTCGCTTGCAGATTTCTTATATTTTTTCTTCTACCCTGAAGATGGAGGCGATACGTTCCTCCGAAACGTCGGTTAACAACACATATACACGGTGCCAAATCCCAGAAAACTGCTTTCTTCATAGTCACCGCCGTGAAAACTCAAATCTTACATCCAACCATTGTTCGCCGTGTAGTGTGACAGCCATACTGAGCAACTTTACTCAGCGGTAAAGCTTCAGATATGTATTTGGGAGGAGGGCAGTTAGATTCTCAGCCGAAACAACTACAACATTGTCTTCTTTGTTCAATACCGGGATAGTGTCTAGAATAGGCCACGGCAACTTCCTTCAAATTATTTACCAATATATTATTCAACAATTATCTAACCACTTGACTCTGCATTGAGATACTGATGGCTCAGTAAGCCACACAAACACACACACACACACACCTGCAGACGTCACACTGTTACAGATGTGCCACTGTACACTGACAAGGAAAGCCATAATGAGGAATAAAGTATGTTTGCTACACACATGACCTTGTCCTGTCAGTGGAGTTTGTGTGTCGATATAAACAAAGGGATCGCGAAACGAAACAATGGCGGAATGCGCCCAAGCAAGCGCGCGCACACACACGCGCGCCTGCGCAAACATACTGAAACAGAAATTTCCTCTCTCGTCATACAGTCAGATAAACAGCAAAGTCGCTTTAGTGACTGAGTCAAGGTCAATGGTCTTACGTAGAGTTGACGCTAAATCTAGGAACCGGGATAGCTCAGTTAGTTACGGGTTTTTCGGCCCGGGTTCGATTCCCGGAAGTGCAAGAATTTTCTCCTCTCCACAGCGTCCAGATCGGCTCTGGGGCCCACCCTGCCTCACATCCAATGGGCACCAGGGGTGATTTCCCCGGAGATAAGCTGACCAATCACATCTATTTAGTCCTGTGGTCAAGAAAACGTGGAGCCATACATCCACTTCCCCATACGTCTTCATGTCGTAGTACTTATTTAAGTACAGGGAACACTTTACCTTTTACGTTAAATCTATGACGTTATTAGTAGCTCAGAGTACGCAGTGTAGGAAGATAGCTGAATGATGAATTGGAAAGGATGACGAAGCAAGCGACCGTGGTCTGAACCTAGTATATCCTGGTATTTACTGAAGGGGCTGGAGAAAATCACGAAGAACTGTGTGCGTATAATATTTCGGCCGATATTGAACCGAACACCTCACGAACACGATTCAAGAACGTCATTACTGCAGCAGACGCACAGCCCCCCCTCATGTTGTATGTTTGTTCAGATGGTGTTACGGCATTGACAATACCTGAGCGCCCCCACGACACCCTAAAGTTTGGCCTCTGTCCAAAATGCATCGGCGACCAAAACTGAAGCTGTAACAGTCCAGGTTATCTTAGGGAGACAGCAGCTAACCTCCCTGAGGAGTGTCGGTTTTCCTCAGTCTCTCCACAAAAATTTTCTGGATATTATTCATTAGGCGACTACCTCTTCCTTCCAAATCCTTTCCAATTCATCAATAATCCTACCATTAGATGCTATTTCCACTTTGAAACTGACAGATCGTAAATACCGCCTTTCCCCCAAAGAAAAGTTAAATGGGAGTAAGCTCTATCTATTGGACACAACTGAATAGGTTTTACCTGAAGACAGAGACAAAATCCAGTCTCCGAAACGCTGTGTTTTGAAAAATAAACAGGACGGTTTTTTAAAAAGAGACAAGACGACGGATAATGTCCAAAAACATATTACTTGTAATAATAATCAAGCTGACTGATCGCTAGCTGGTAGTATCGATAGGTAGTAATATCGATAGCAGAAGATACGAAGCGAGTACACTTCTGTTCATTTATACCAGGTTGGACCCACTGTGACAACTCTCTAACAAAATAACTGTAAATTAATGTGGGATAAACAACCACACACGTTGCCTCTTTGTCTATTCTCCGTCATACTCGTATAAAAATGAAAGAATTCTTGACTCGCAGATAGGGTTAATTCTAACTCAAACAAGTTTACCTTATGTCAATTCAAACACAAGTGTTTCCGGCGAAAACAAATAGCACTGCCTCCTATATATATGTACTGACAGCGGGAGTGTTTCTGCATTGAGAACCAGGTCCGCTGTTCGTTACCAGTTGCGCATAGCTTTACACGGGTAAGTGCCTTACCGATAAGTACTCCTCCATAAACAGATATGATGTAGCAAGTTACCTCAAGTGCAAATATATTTGGGTTATTCTTGAGTCGAATCTTGGCTGTGACCACACTGAGCCTTATCGTAGTTTTCCTCATACCCTTCAGTTAAATTTCAGGACGGTACTTTAAATTAGGTCACAAACCCTTTCTTCCATAATATTTTAATTTCATTACAAATTGATTTTTATACCAATCGAAGGTTCTGATATACTGAAGGAGAACCACTGACAGAATGGTCAGTGATCCGGCCTTGATTCGAACCCGGCACCACCTTGATTAAACTTGCTCGGTCATACAAGGCAATATTTTCAAATTTTCTGAACAACGAAAAATAATAATTTCAAATCTTTTTCTGCAACACAATACAAGTAAAGAAATAAAATCTGCCTGCTTCCCACCGCCGTGGCCCGGGTTCGATCCCAGGTCAGGTTACGTGGGATTTGTGGTGGGAAAAGTAGCATTGGAGCAGGTTTCGTCTGGGTACTTCTCTTTACCCTTGTCAATTCTTCTTCAACCGACGGTTCCATACTCATTAATCACCCTATTCTTGGCGCTATATTCCGGATACTCAGAGCGTCGTTAAACAACAAACTTAAAGAAAACAAGACAACAGGCATATCTTCAAACTCCTTCAACAGAATAACACTTTACAATTGTTTCAACAACGTAATACACACGTCTCAACAAGAGAACAACTTAACTGTGTTTCAACAAGACAATACACAAATCTGTCTCAACGATAAAACGTCTTAACTGTGTTTCAACAAAACAGTACACAAATCTGTCTTAACAAGAGAACATCTTAACTGTTTCAACAAGACAATACACAAACTTGTCTCAACAAGAGAACTTCTTGACTGTGTTTCGAAAGAGACAATACACAAACTTGTCTCAACAAGAGAACATCTTAACTGTGTTTCAACAAGACAAACACAAACTTGTCTTAACAAGAGAACTTCTTAACTGTGTTTCAACAAAGACAATATGCAAACATGTCTCAATAAGAGAACATATTAACTGTGTTTCAACAAGACATTACACAAACTTGTCTCAACAAGAGAACATCTTAACTGTGTTTCAACAAGACAAACACAAACTTGTCTTAACAAGAGAACTTCTTAACTGTGTTTCAACAAGACATTACACAAACTTGTCTCAACAAGATAACTTCTTAACTGTGTTTCGAAAGAGACAATACACAAACTTGTCTCAACAAGAGAACATCTTAACTGTGTTTCAACAAGACAATACACAAACTTGTCTCAACAAGAGAGCGTCTTAACTGTATTTCAACAAGACAATACACAAACTTGCCTCAACAAGAGAACTTCTTAACTGTGTTTCAACAAGACATTACACAAACTTGTCTCAACAAGAGAACATCTTAACTGTGTTTCAACAGACGCACTTGCTGAACTCTTCCAGATAAAAGATGCTCGGCTTCTTTCTCCTGGCGGGTCTGATTGCGGCCAGCAGCGCCGACAGCGCCGACAGCGCCTGCGCTTACAGGTCCGTCTGCGCTGACCACACCATGTGCAGATTTAATTCGGTAAGGACACCACTATGAGTACAGACCCAACAACCCTTTCGCTGATACAGCCGAGTTTAGCAGTGTCAGCGAGCCTTCAGTCTACAAGTTATAACTATTTATACAACATCTTTTGCATCTTGCCGGTATGGAGACATCTATTTCTAAGTTAGCGGGCCTGCTTATGTTGGAACAGAGTTCTGAGGAGAATATTTGAATCCATGAGAGGGAAGCCGGAGAAAGATTTAATAATTTGGATTCTGCATCAGATATTTTTAGGTTTATCCAATTAAGAAGAATATTTGGAGGGTAAGACAGAACACATGAGAGGAGACAAATGCACACATTTTTTGGCAGGAAAACCATGAAGGAAAAAACAACCTGGAACATGTAGACATGTTTGGGAATAAATGAAATTTGACCACACAGAAGCAGGACTGGAGAGTGAACAGGTAGTGGGCTCATGTGAACACCGCGTCCAACAAATCCGGTTATCGTCTCCACTCACACTTACCACGTGACACTATTATACACTAATGTAATTTCCGTTCAAAATTCAACGGAAGTTTTCCACGTATATATGTGTTCAATACAATCGCCATTTTCAGCTAAAATTATGAGTCGACGAATTGTTATCATGGAAAATTTTCGTCTCAATTTACATTAAGAAATCACGTTGCGAGATAGAATAAATGAGAATTAACTGACATTGGGTATAGATTGCAGATTTAGAAATACAGCCCGATTATGTTATCAATATCCCCCCCACACACACACACTTATAGAGCCTGACTAAGTAACCCCATGAAGCTGAGTCCTTCTTGAGAAGCCTACAGTGGCTCAGCTACTCAAGAATTTCCCAAAATTTTATGGAACCCGAAGCTTCATTATCGTGTTCAAAAGAGATCTCCACTAGTCCCTATCCTGAGCCAGATCAATCCTGTATAGGGCCTACCTTATAATATTCACTACATTTCATTTGGCAGAGCCTTGGAGCAAACTGTCTCTCACCTACGTTCTCAGGAGTAACGACTGATGCTGACAAACAGACGATAGTTGATGCGCATAACAACCTGCGCAGAAAACTGGCTAAGGGACAGGAAACTCGAGGAAACCCTGGGCCTCAGCCTCCTGCAGCCAACATGAAGAAAATGGTAAGTATGATTCATTGAAATCTTGTATTTAAGCATCCTGTTGCATTACTGCCTTGTTCACACACAATTTTCCGTCAATAATTACCTGTCATCTTGACAGATTACTGATGATGATGAATGCAACTATTTATTTCTTCATTCATATTTGCTTTCACTATTAACACGACATCTTTCGACCCGAAACGGCCATCCTCAGGTGTCCCATTATGCCAAACCTGCTACAATGCACTGAGTGTTGTTCTATTCGACGGGCGCGTAACTGAACATTTTGTAATTAAAATGTTAAAATTGCACTCAACTTTGGGGCGTTAAAATCTTTACATGTTACAGTTTATTCCATTTAAATTCAATTAAAGATCGTTAACAGTTTTAATTATATAAACTCCTAATTCCTCTTCATAAGGGGCGTCTTCCACTTGTCTAAGCAATATACCCTTCTTCGGTTATTTATATTGTCCTTTCCATATGCAAGCCCGTTGTTATGTTTTGTCTGCTATGGCCCATAGAGTTGTGAGACGTCGAGGCTCCCATATTTTCTAGAAAATCGGCTCACATATGGCGGTGAGGTTGTCAGCCTTACGTGCCGGCTGTCCTTTGCACCCCAGGAATATTCCTGGTACTCATTTCTGTTAGAGGTTGAGTCGACCCCAGGGCCATAGTACGGCTGGAAGGCTTAGGTCAACTGAAAAATGCAATGACCTCAGCGGGGTTCGACTTCCCGGCTTGTAGCACAGTACCTCAGTGAGGTTTACTGAGTCTGAGACTAAGGGTTTATCTTTTTCGCACGAATTTGAAATGCGCTGCGTTTTGTCCCGCAGACATGGGACGATGAACTGGCCGAAGTGGCGCAGCGGTGGGCGAACCAGTGCACGTTCCAGCATGACACATGCAGAAGCGTCAGTAAGTAGCGTTACCAACATCACGGACCTTTGAAGGGCCGTTTTTAATGGCAGACTGAACGAGAGAACAAACAAAACTAAAAATTGTGGCTAATATTTTTACAAACGTCGTCATAATTTTAAACCAAGAATTATACCAGTAATGTTCAATGTTTCAGGGACTTTATGTGTATTTTTCACATTGTGCAAATTTCACTAACTGTTATTACGTTTAAATTAATACATGCAACGTTTGAATATTTATTAAGCTCCTGACAGGAAAATAGGAGCTAGGGTAGCGTTGTCAGTATAGCAACTGGCTACGGGCAGGACGACTGAGTTCCAGTCCCGGTAGGGTCAAGAATTTCCTCTCCTCCAAGTCGCCCAGACTGACACTGCGGTCCACCCAACCTATATAATGGGTACTGAGGGTTCTTTCTCTGGGGGTAAAGTGGCCAGGGCATGAAGCTGACCACTCACCTCCAGCTAGTGCCGAGGCCAAGAAAATGTGGATCTGTACATCCACTACCCCATTTTTTTATTGCTAGTGGGGTGGGACTAAGTCCCTTGTACTGCGGCCACTTCTGGCCTATTGTACCAGCCCCAGATGATAGGTGAGGGTGATTGTGGAGCAATTGGTGGAATGAAGATTGGCAGGGGAAACCGAAGTACTCGGAGAAAACCTGCCCCAGCTCCACTTTGTCCACCACAAATCCCACTTGACCAGACCCGCGGTGGGAAACCAGCGACTAACCGCTTGAGTTATGGCGCGGCCCTCCACTAACCCCATACACCTTCAGGAAATACTTTTTCAGTCTGGCGATGAGTCAAGAGGGGAAGAGCAGAAAGGCAAATTCTCAATAAAATGGAGCAGAAACAATAAACATTTTAGTGCTCTCCTCCAATGGAAAGGTTAGGCCCTCATGTACTGTGCAAGACACAAACATTGGCAATACTTAGGGCGAGTAATACTGTTCCTGTTGGTGCACTGAAGCCTAATGTGTAATTAAATGAATAGTACATAGGCCAAACAATTTGTGGAAGCTTTGCTCTTTCTACAATTGTTGTCCTATTTTATTTCACAGGCAGATTTTACGTAGGCCAAAACCTGTACATTACGTACTCAATGGGAGCCGCTAAGAACGGAAATGAAGACTGGAATTCAGCTGTACAGGCCTGGTATGACGAGGTGAAGGACTTCAGCAAGGACAGTGTCAGTCCCTTCAAGTGAGTACATCTGCCATAATTCAACAGTTTTAGATTAAATTTGGTTTGGCCGGAATAACGATTGGCTACGGGGCTGGACGGGCGACGGTTCGGGGTTGGAGTCTCGGTAAGGACGAGATATTTCTCTTCCCCACATCATCCAGACCGGCTCCGGAGTCCGCCCAGCCTCCAGAGTGAAGCTGACCACTCACCTCCAACTAATACCGAGGAAGGAATAAGTGGATCTATAACTCCACTCCCTCGTACGTCTTCACGGCGTAGTGCTTGTAAAGTATCTAACTTATATTCAGACACAGAGCTTCTCTGTATGTGACAGACTCCTCATGCATTTCCATAAGGTTCCTGTCTCGAGTGCTCAGGTTTTACTCCACAGATGTCACTAGTGGCAAATATTACATGTCTTCACAATTCTTCTCCATTTCTTTGCATTGGTGCTCATGCACTTGGTTTTGTCGCCTGTGTTTCTAGCACAAATTTCTACCCAATTTTCTATCCTAGTTCCATGCATGTACGTGCTCTATCAATTTTTTTACTTTATGGTTTCTTGTTATCTCCCGCTGAACTAGTCTAGTCTTATATGTTGAAATAGCTGTGTAAATCTGACAGGAGTTGTCCAGTGATTGAGATTAGCTCCTTCTAAAGGACCTAACCGGGTATATGTCTTCCTTCCGCACCTGAAGACGGAAACAGATCCAGTTTGCGAAACGTCGTGATTTCTATTTCCTAGAATTCGGGACGATAGAAGTAGTAAGAAAAAAAAATAGTAATTCTGAGTTCTAATTCTACTTCCGTAGAGCCGTGTTTACCGTGCCATTGCATAGAAATGGCTATTGTCTCGTTGCTTGTTTCGAGGCCTTTGCCTAACAACGGGTCTAATATTTAGTAAGCCTGATTACTTTCACGGGCACCACAAACTCTATGAGAATACTGTACGATACTTCCCTCCTAACTGAATCACACGTTTCTTCGAGGTCTCGCTGTAATTCTGACAATTCAATGTTCTGTTATCAGGTTCAGCTCAGGCACGGGCCACTACAGCCAGGCAGTGTGGGCCGATACAGATAAAGTCGGCTGTGGATTCACGGCCTTCACAGATTCTGACGGCTGGTACAGCAAGCTGTACGCCTGTAACTACGGTCCTGGAGGGAACATCGTAGGGGGCTCCAGCAGTGTGTACACCATTGGGGAAGCCTGTTCAAAATGCTCTGGCTCCTGTGACGACGGCCTTTGTGTGTAACGGCAGGTTTCCTAACAATTAAATAAATGTCTGAATTTATAAACTGCTTATTCTGTAACGACCTCACCGCCATCTGTGAGCCGACTGTCTAGAAAATGTGGGAACCTCGACGTCTCATAACCCAATGGCCCTTCGCGGCCGGTTACAGGGATAACTTTACCTTTATCTTATTCCGTAATGACTTACTTCCTCTCTACGTGGATGTGGATACCAATTAGGCACTACAGAGCCGGGAAAGCTCAGTCGGTATAGCGTCTGGCTACGGCTAGACGGTCGAGGGGTAAGATTTCGATTTCCTGTAAGGGCAAGAGTTCTGCTCTTCTCCGCGTCGTCCAGGCCAGCTCTGGTGTCCACCCAACCTCTTATCCAATGGGTACCGGGGGCTCTTTACCTGGGGTAAAGCGGCCGAAACGTGAAGCTGACCACTCACCAACTACTGCCGAGGTCAACAGTACCCGAATCTATATATATGAAAACGATGGGTCCAAGTATTGTTCTATTATTGAATGTGCATTCGTTGCAACGGTAACGTTTTTACCGAGCCGTTGCCTAGCAACATCATGAATTTTACAAAACCGTTGCCTGGAAACAGCCGGAGGATACATGTACAGACACACAGATTGATGAGAGGGATTTATGAATTACGCCGTTGAGATGGGCTCAGGCGCCATGATATACATACCGGGTTCCATAAAGATTGGTTTAGGTCTTCGGAAGTCAATGAGGATACACAGACAGACAGCATGGAGATTGCATGCGCTCACTTTTATTGTTTTCAAAATAAGGAAAGTAGGTTAATAAAGACTGAATGTGATAAAGGTAAAACACTGCCAGACATGGTCACTTTCTCATGTTCCGCACACTAACTAACTAACTAACTAACTAACTAACTAACTAACTAACTCCATGGAGCATAGTCATTCTTGAGAAGCCGCCCCAGCGTTTTACGTAATCCGAAGGTTCATTGCTTTGCTCATAAGAGCCCGCCACCGGATCCTATCCTGGGCCAGCTGAATCCAAAGCACACTCTCCGATCATGTTCCTATTATTCAAATATTCGTGGTTTTTCTCGGTAGCACCGAATACGGCAGTGGAGAGTAATATTATAAACGAACAATGGATTCCAAAGGATATGCAAAAAATGAGGCGTGGCCTACTCTAAGACACTATCCTGGCGTTCGTTTTAAGTGACTGAGGAAGACCATGATAAAGCTGAGTTCAGTAGAATTTCGAAGTTGATATTTCATGAATACAGATCTAATACTTTACGGAATAATTAAATTTGCTTGGCCATATTTCTTTCATATTATCCTAACATCTAATACTAGGTCTTCCCAGTTGCCTCTTAACTTCAGGTTACAATACCAAAGCTCTGTATGCAGTGACCCACGGCCAGTAGACACAAGAGAATATTCTTTTTGCGAGTCGCGATACCGGGTGGACTAGACACGATGTGAGGCATCCTGAGGTGCAGGCCGACAACACAAGAGGCCCGCAACCATTCGCTCCGGATGCGTGGAATTTCAAAAGGAGCGGGAGTGTACAGATTAAAAGGAATCAAGTTGATGAAGGGATGGAGGGAAGGGGGGAGGGAAGAAAAGGGGCGAAAGGGATAAGAAGAAGACGTGAATGAAGAGAAGATATGACAGCTTGATTATTGCACGGATGTCATCCGCTACTGAACACAGCTGGGAACTAACAGCGATCTCAAGGTCCCAGGTTGGAGTCCAGGTGCTCGTGAGTCAGGACGCAGAATGCTTACGTCGCGTCTGTCCGTCCACATGTTTCATCTTCGGAAGCCCACATAGAATAAAGATTAATTTTACCGAGGAGTTTGGCGCAGTGTTAACACTCGAGAGGTGCTTAGTTCGAATCTTGGCCAGGAAAAGAATAACCTTGAAATCTTCTGTAGTTCCTTCAGGCAAATGCTGGGATCATGGGTTCGAATATTAGTCGAGGAATGGATGTATATGTATGTATTGGTCTTGCGACGGGCTGATCCCCCGTACAAGGAGTCCTACCGACTGTGTATAGGATTACGAAATTGAAAAATGGCCAAGGCCTAACAAAGGATAGTAGAATCACTGATGAATGAAAATGGCCGGGGCATAAAGGTGAACACTCCAACTCCAGTTAGTGCTAAGATCAAGAATACATGGATCTATGCACCCACTCCCCCCTACTGCTTCATGGCGTGATGCCTAGTTAAGGTAAAAAACGTAAAGCTATCCCTGTAACAGGCAGTGGAGGTCCATAGGTTTGTGAGACGTTGAGGCTCCCATATTTTCTAGACAATCGGCTCACAGATGGCAGTGAGGTTGTCAGTCTTACGCGCCGGCCGCCCTTTACCCTTCACGAAGATTGCTGGTACTCATTTCTGTTAGAGGTTGAGTCGACCCCAGGGCCACAGTGCTGCTGGAAGGATTAGGTAAACTGAAACTATCCACCTCATCAGGATGAGAACCCGCGACTTTCCGGCTTGTAGCATAGTGCCTCAACCAACTACGCTACCGGGTGCTCCCATGCTTAGTTAAGCACAGGAACAACTTTACTTTATCCCGCGTTTTCTTACGGAGAAATTTCTTGGCGTAGATGTCTAAACATCTCTGTTACAGAATCTATGAAGTTCAATAAGCTGCCAAAAGGGCACATCTTCTGAGAGAGTGGAGTGAGCGCTTTCCTGTCGATGTTCAAGCTGAGGCGAGTGTACGCAATGGAGACATCCACTGGCCACTGAAGTTTGTCAGTCTGAATTAACCGGCGCAGAGCACGGCGGAATTCGTTAGCGAGTGACAGGATGCCCCACAAACACGTACACTAAAATATAATAGCTGTCGGTATAGCGACTGCCTACGGGCTGGATGGCCGAGGGGTCGGAATTCGAGTCCTTGTAGAGTCAAGAATTTTCTCATCTCCACGTGGCCAAGACCAGCTGTGGGGCCCAGCCAGCCTCCTATCCGATGGGTACCGGGAGCTCTTTCCCCGGGGGTAAAGCGTATGGGGCGTGAAGCTGCCAACTCACCTACAACTAGTGCTGAGGTCAAGAAAATATGGGTTTATACATCCACTCCCCCATGCGTCTTCATGGCGTAGTGCGTAATTAGTCAAGCACAGGGACAACTATGGGAATATGGTGCCTTATTTGTTCATGGCAGAGAAATGTCATGTAATGGGGTACATGTCCCCCAAAAATGTTATTTCAGACAACTCGCAGTACTGAGCCATTGATCATGATACTCATTTAGGAGTCACTGCATCTTCGAATCTTCTACTGTGTGTAGGACACTCGCGCAACCAAGACACATCCACCCCCCACCCCTAATTTGCGGGTGGAAAGAAGTCAAAACTGAAAAATAGTATATATAGGTATTATAACAAGACCAAGAATGGCTCAGTGGAAATAGCGACGGGACAAGCGATGAACGGTCGAGGTTCGAATCCCGACAGGGGCGAGATTTTTCTCTTTTCCACTTCCCCAGACTTCAGACCGCCACTGGGGCCCATCCAACCTCCTCTATAATAGATACCTGTCGGGGATCTTCCCCGAGAGCAAATCGGCCGGAAGGTGAAGCCGACAAATCACCTAACTTCAAGGTTAAGAGAGGTGGAGCCATAACTCCACTCTCCCATATGCCATTACGGTGTAGTACATAGGGACACAGGGACATGAGCTTTGCATGATTACTAACCGGCAAGGGGTCCAGGTACCTTTGTCAGTCCTGTGACTAGGTTATGTCTTGAATGGTGGAGGGTTCCGGGTTCGATTCCAGGCACCGCAAGAGATTATTCTCTTCTCCACAGCGCCCAGAACAGCTCTGGGGCCCTCCCGGCCTCTATATATTGAGCACCGGTGAGTCTTTCCTCTAGAAAAGGCGGCCGAGGCGTGAGGCTAATCACGTACCTCCATCTACTGCCGATGTTGGAAGTGAGTGTAGCCTTGTCTCCAGTGCTCTGTACGCCGTTGCGGTGTGCTTAACGTAAGCTCAAGTACAGCCTTCTCTTCGCCTTTTCGCTGATTTCACGTGTTTAGGTAAGCATGTAAATAGGCCACAAATGGGAGTAAAACGGTTGTAATGGATGTAATACGTTTTCTATGTCTTACACTAGGTAGCAGCACAGTCCAGCTTCATGACAGTTTGTGTAGCAGACGCGCATGCGCATGTTCATAGTTTGGTTTGAGTAGTCAAAATGGTGACCGTGTTTCGGGAATAAATTACCGAAGAGCTGTGTTCTGTTGTGCGTTTTCTATGGACAATAGGACTCAATGCAAAGGATATTCATAAAGAAATGTTCTTGTTTACGGTGGGAAGTGTTTGTCGCGTAAAGCGGTTCACATCTGGGTCGAGAAATTCTCTCAAGGACGTTCGAAAGTCGCAGAAGATGCCGACCAGGTGCGGAAGTGGCTGAGACAACAGTTCAAAAGGCTTCTATGCAGTGGTAAAGCTATGGTACAAGTGTATCAGTGTTGGTGGACGATAGGTCGAGAAATAAATATTTGTATCCAGGTTCGAATGTCACATGTTTTATATCCATTTGTGACCTATGTACTGACTCTCTCTTGGTGTCTAAGGTGGCGCCAGGCAGAACCTATTAGGTACAGTGCTCCACTTTACGTGTGCGGGACTGTCCTCATTAGCGCGGTAACAATTACCACCACTACTGGTGACCGGGACGGCTTATTGCGGCCCGCGTTTGAAGATAATATCGGCAGGTAGAGAGCAGATCCCTGTACAGTGTCGACCCCTATCAGTCTCACTGCGAAACATTTAAGTGGAAATTGTCTATGTAAACAGCCATGATCCTTGTCTGTGAGAAGACCGTCCTCCGGCAGTCCCCTGCCTCGCTACCATATGCAACACACAACTACACTGCGCAGAAGGTAGCGACGGGATGGACGGCCAGGGTTTGATTCCCGACAGGGCCACAGCGTGCAGACCGGTTTCTGTGATCCACCCAGCCTACTATCTCATGGGTATCGGAGTCTCTTTCCCTGGGGGTAAGTAGGCCGAGGTGTGAAGGTGACCACTCATTTCCATCTAGTGC